TCTCCAAGGATCAAGGTATACCCACAGGCCACAAACCATTTTCTTGGTAGGTATCATATTGGCTGCCTCCACAGTTGAAACTACTGACTATGCAATTAGACACGCTTAGGTCCTAGCATCCTTTAGACAGTGCTCCTCACACTTTAATATGCAAACAATTCACTTAGGGAGCTGCTTAAGATGCAGACTCTGATTCAGCAGGTGAGGCCTGAGATTCTTCACTGCCAACAGGCTCCCAGGTGATGCTGATGCCCATGGTCCATGGACCACATTTCCAGTCACGGTTTTAAGACACCTCAAATGAAAAAGTTCTAATACTCACTGATCAGGTTGGTGGTGAGGGGAGAGAACCTCTCTTTTGCTGTGATGTCATTTAGGCTTTTCACTTTAATAGAACGCTTCACATAGGGATTCAAAACAGAAGCAGCCACTTTGGGTTCCTTCAGGATTTGCTGAAAGTATAAAAAAAAATTTCTTAAATTTTTTAGAGCACAAATGAAGGATGTGCCATGCACATACTTTCTTCTTTTTTGGAGACAAAGTCTTGCTCTGTCGCCTAGGCTGGAGTGCAGTGGCACAATCTTGGCTCACGCAACCTCTGCATCCTGGGTTCAAGCAATTCTCCTGCCTCAGCTTCCCAAGTAGCTGGAATTATAGGCGCGTGCCACCACACCCGGCTAATTTTTGTATTTTGAGTAGAGATGGGGTTTTACCATGTTGGTCAGGCTGGTCTCGAACTCCTGGCCTCAAGTGATCCACCCGCTGCAGTCTCCCAAAATGCTGGGGTTACAAGCGTGAGCCACCACACCCTGCTGCAAAGGCCTTTTTTTTACTTGTCATAAATCCTACCTCCCTAGCCCCTCCTCCAAGAGCCTAAAAAATTTTAGCAAAAAAATTTCTGTCTTTGTAAAGATCTAACAATATCCTTTTTTGGGGGTGGGGTGGTGGTGTTGGCCACAGTCTATTCTTATTCAAAACATTATTTACTGAGACTAAAAGGTTACAGAATTCTGAAATATACATACCCTCCACTGAGACGTGTACAAACTGCCAGGTGCCTGTCCATGCCAGACATTTCACACCTACTATCTCCCTTCATGTGGGCAGCCCTGAAAGGCCAGTGGTTATTATTCCCATTTTACGTATGAGGGAACTGAGGATCAGAGTGGTTAAGAAACTCACCTAAGGTCACATCAGCAAGTGAAGACTAGCCCCAATATTTAAAACCAGTCTGTGTATTTCTAAAGCCTGTGCTCTTAGTCATCCATCAAGATAATGTTTTTCAAACAGTACAGACTCACGGACCCAGTAGTATCAACATCAAAAGCATTAGTAACAGTTGGTTCTAAAATCTTTTGCAAAAGTAAGTATCCTTTAAAAGAAAATCATGTCCTTGTGGTTGGGCACGGTGGCTCACACCTGTGGTCCCAGCACTTTGGGAGGCCAAGGTGGGTGGTTTGCCTGAGGTCAGGAGTTCGAGACCAGCCTGGTCAACATGGTGAAACCCCGTTTCTACTAAAAATACAAAAAGTTAGCCGGGTGTGGTAGCGGGTGCCATAATCCCAGCTACTTGGGAGGCTGAGGCAGGAGAATTGCTTGAACCTGGGAGGCAGAGGTTGCAGTGAGCTGAGATCGTGCCACTGCACTCCAGCCGGGGTGACAGAGTGAGACTCAGTCTCAAAAAGAAAGAAAGAAAAAGAAAGGAAGAAAAGAAAAAAAAGAAAAGAAAATCATGTCCTTGTATTCACTGAAGAATGCCCTGCACCAGTGCTTCATGATGGGTGACCGTGGGGCAGGTGAATCTCTAATCTGCGCCACACTGTTAGGGATAACCGGTGCAGCCACAGAGGGCTCCCTGCCTATGTCTGGGCTGTAATGATGTGCAACCAGGCACATGTTTTGGGGGCACCAACTACTGAACTACAAATGTGCAAATAAGTATGATGTGCTAGGATGCCTCTCCTTGAATCTGTGCTAACTAGAAGGTCAGACTGTCCTTTAAACACTTAGAACTATGAATCTGGATGAGGTCAGGTGCTACAAATTCCAAGTAAATCTACCACACTCTCCTGTTTTCCTGTAGAGTGAGCTACATTACATTTGACTGAGTTACATAGGGAAGAAAATATGTATTTAAGACAATAACAAAATTAATTCTAGGGAGGCAATGAAGTGTAGTAAAAGGAATATGGATTTCCAAGAGGCCTTGAGGCCTGTGTTCAAATTCTAGTCCCACCTCGTATGACTTTGGGCAAGCGACTGCATTTCCCTGCATTCGGCTTCCTCATCTGTAAAATGAGGATAATTATACTTCTATCTCACATGAATCTTTTGATACTGAATAAAATAATAAAGTACTCAGCATATAGTAGGGTTCAATAAATGGTAGCTAATCATAGCCCACTCTATATAAGATACAAAGGCCCACCCATTCTACTCCTTCCCATTCACCACCACAAAAGATGAAAGGTTTGCAACTCTAGTTTCAGGCCAGGTGTGGTAGCTTACACCTTTATTCCCAGCACTTTAGGAGGCCGAGGCAGGTGAATCACTTGAGCCCAGAAGTTCAAGACAAGCCTGGAGAACACGGTAAAACCCCCACCTCTACAAAAAATACAAAAAAATTAGCTGGGTGTGGTGGGGGTGCACTGTAGTCCCAGCTACTCAGGAGGTTGAGGCAGGAGGATCACCTGAGCCCAGGAGGTTGAGGCTGCAGAAGTGTGATCACGTCACTGCACTCCAGCCTGTTGACAAAGTGAGACTGTCTCAAAAAAAACTCTAGAACTCTAGTTTCAGTAAACTACTTCAAGCAGCATTTATAATATAATTCAAACATATAATGGAGTCTAAACCACTCTTTTCTAACACATTTTGATGTACTTTACATTTAACCCAGGCCTTATGAATAAATCACTGGTTACAGAAGCACTAATAAGATACATACTGGCTTTTCCAAAGCAAAGGGTCACAGAAGCTGATATAAAAATGAAACAAACATCCCAGGTGACAAGTGACCTTTCCCCATTTCTTGATTTTACCGTGTTTTCCTTCTTCCTGCAAAAGGTGGCGCATGTAATATCAAGGCAAACACAGCAGCAACAACCCATTACTTACAGATGCAGTGGTCACCGTGCAAGGCACCTCTCCGCGATGGACACTCATCATGGTAGAAAAGGCAGAAACGACTCCCTGGGCATTGCTTAAGCGACCATTTTCCGCAAGCAAATCTGGCAGAGAGAAGGTGTCTCAGTAACACGAAACTCACTTGAACAAGTTATTCATAAAGCCATATACTCAACCCAAAAAACAAACTTAGATTTGTGGCCTTAAAACACCATATTCAGGGGTGCATGCCTATAATCCCAACTACTGGAGGCTGAGGCGCAAAGATTGCTTGAGGCCATGGGTTCAAGACCAGCCAACATAGCAAGATCCCATCTCTACAAAAAAACGTTAGGGCTTGGTGGTGCATGTCTAGAGTCCCAGCTATTCAGGAGGATGAGGCAGGAAGATTGCTTGAGCCTAGGAGTTTAAGGCTGCAGTGTGCTATGATTGTCCTACTGCACCCCAGCCTGGGTGACAGAGTAAGATCTTGTCTCTTAAAATCACAATATATTCAATGTCCTTTAAGAATATGAATGGAGGCTGAGTGCAGTGGCTCACGCCTATAATCCTAGCACTTTGGGAGGCCGAGGTGGGCAGACAGCTTGCATCCAGGAGTTTGAGACCAGCCTGGGTAACATGGTGAAAGTGTCTGTGTCATCCCCAGAAAAAACTCCCAGCACTATTGGGGACCGCGCCTGAGAGGCGCTGGGCCGGCATCAACTTTTGAGTAGCGACGCTTTAAGACGCAAGCCTGCCAACATGGACGAAACCCCCCTTTTCTACTACAAACAACATCACACGACCAAACATGTAGTCCAGACACATAAAAAAGAAGATAGGCGCACA